GAATACAGACGGATAATAAGAAAGCACTTGTGGGAGCAAATGGCTGACTGATAGGCTATACACGATATGAATTTTTTGCTCACACCATCATTTGGATAAATAAATATCACCTTCGGATAGCGAAAACGAAGTGTAAGAATAGAATACTCGGTTAGCGATCACTTATATAACTACAACGATAATATTATTTCTAATAATAAAAACAACATATATTTACAACAACAACATTAATAATGATAACTATAAAATAGCAGTAATAATAACTAAGATAATCCTAATAACAGTAATAATCACAACAAAAGCAACGAAAAAAAACACTAAGAATAACAAAGGACAATAAAAGTGAACAAGACCCAAGATGAACAATACAACTTCCAGAGACAGTAAAACACCCAAGTCCACTTTGCCGCCTTCCTGAAACACGTAAGGTGATGGCCAGTCGCAAGACATGAGAACATTTTAGGACCACACGATAGGGAACACGTGAAAATTATTATCCCCCCCCCCCAACTAGGTTATTTCACCTGATGATTGAAACACCCCTACGTTACCTGACAGTCTTGTTAGGTAAGATTAGGTTGTGTTTGTGTAAGGTTAGGTTAGTGTTATATTATGTTATGTTATGTTTCGTAGTTTAGGTTAACTTTAGGGTTTTTAATCATCTAACAAAATAAGCTGGGGGTCCTAATCTTCAGTGACCGACTTGAGTCATAGACGACGAGGAAGGAGGGATAGACCTGAGTGTGTTAACTGGCAGGAAACTGGAGATTGGGGTTAATGAGACGGACCAGATGACCAGATAACATTAGAGGGCGGAATTGTAGATGGAACTGTTGTGGCCATGTAGTGTAGTGTGGCAGCCCTACTAGACGGAAGCTCTCCACACAGTAAGAATCGTTTAGACGCAGTGGTTCCCAATCTTTTCCGTTCTGTGGCCCCCGGATAAGATAATATAACCTCCGACGAAGCAACCAAAGAAACGTCGCTCGAATGAGCATGCTGGATATGAGATTTTAATTTTGCATTATTAATAGTGGTACAGTTGTGGAAATGGGTTCCTACGCCCCTGTGGTAACCCGTCTCCAAACGGCCAACCTATTTAACCTATAGCAAATCTATCCACCAATCACGTCCGTCGTTACACGAATAATACCCATTCATTCATAATAGTGATATGACAACTGCAACGGAGCCATTTGGAGACACGGGCTACCACAGGGGGTGTAGGAACACATTTCCGCAGCTGTACCAGTGGCTACAGGAACAGCATACAATAGAACTGTCACACAAGAAAACAGTATGAAAAGGTTCTAAGTCTTGGACACGTGAAAAATAAAATCCTCGGTTATGTCTACAGTAAATGCAGTGTATTATAATATCACAAAAATAAACTCAACTCAACTCGACGCCGTGCACGCTCGTAAAATTTACGCGCGTGCAAAAAGAACACTAAAAAAGGTTCAATAAAAACTCAGTGAGATGGATGAAATCGCATTTTTTGCTACTAATATGGTTTAAACTCTGGCACTCTGCTATGTCGGTCAAGCCTTATTTAATTTAATTATGAACTCACATGGTTCAAATTACCCCATAGCCCCCAGGTTGGGAACCACTGTTAGAGGAAAACAATAAGAACAGCTACCCGGACTGAGGAACTTGAGAAGACTGTCTGAGGAGGCTGAAGTTCCTGACAACGGCATCCCGTGGGCTAGGGACGCTGGTAAGACCTTCAAGTTGTTACCAAGAATTTATGATGAAGGGGCGCACCCATTATTGAGACCGCAAATTTTAACGTACCAGGCCACGTCCAACACATCAAGCTGAGGTCATACAAATTCTCACTGAGGTTGGCGGGAACGTCTTTAGAACTTCTCGACTTTGGAAAAAAACCGGACCAGCAGTGGACAGATCAACTCGTCGTAGATGTGGACAGATCGTAGAGCCACTAGCCTACTACATAATGAGGTGGAGAAACACGTGCTGTGTTCATCGTCAACACATCCACGTGCCCAGTACGGTAGAACCTGACCTTGGGGAGAACACAGGGTAAATGCAGATTATAACTTCTACCGTAAGAAAATGACAACCACCAGGAAGAACTTTCTGTAATTTTAAAGATGTAAACAGTGCAATCATGGCAACACGACTTACCAACCACACAGCACACACACTACTATTTTTTTTTCAACGTGGCCTCCAGCCTTCCCCAATAGCCACACCTTCGCCGCCATTTTATTATCTTAAAATTAACTATCCTAATACATAAGTAGCTACCCTGGCTGTGTTGAGTTAGTTAAGCCGCAGATCTATGCGGCGTTCAGTGACTGTTGCCTCATAGTCGATATCTGCAACTGTTGTCGGCTTTGGGGCAGATGCTCTCGTTCCCTTGAGGCAGAGCAGAGCAGACCTAATGAGAGAGAAGGGCAGTCGACATCTCAACCAGGCTGTAACATAACTTCTGGGCTGCCGATTCTGTTCGGATAGCACCTCCGCGAGTCTGGCGTAGAAGCATCTTGCACTTGGTCCCATCCCACCAGAGGTTGTGAACACCAGAGGAGTGAAGCTGCCTTGATCAACGTTCTGAATTCTCTCCCCTATACCCCTATCTACCATTACTACTACTACTACTACCAATACTACTACTACTACTACTACCATTACTACTACCATTACTACTATTACAAAGAATAAGATACAGTTTACCTAATAGTACCGTAGTGTCAGTGTCACCTGTTAGTTCTGTTATGTTTATATGTATAGTCCAAGGTATTCTTAAATGTTCTTTTACACTCAGTATGCACACACTAGGCTGGGGTTCATTTAGTCCGGAGTCCTCCCACTACATACACGACCACGCCCATTCTCTCTCGTTAGATCTATGACCATGATTCTTGCTTCTCTCGCCTTTTTTATCTTTGCAAATCTACATTAATGATTCAAACTTCTCCATTCTCTGTCTCTCCATTAATTCCGGAACTGTTTGGATGATGTAAATTGCCTTCTGTACTTAATTCCCTTTCAACGTGGCCACAATTGGGGTCTCTATGCCATATTGACCTTAATAAGAAAAAAAATCTGGTCATCTCATTATGAAGAACATCCATACAATATTTCATTCATCAAAGCGAGACTTAGTTAACAGACGGACTGACAGACTGACAGTGGTGGGTATTATGTTTTACCCTTTGGTCATGAAAGGAAATACCGGTGACCTCTGTCGGTGACCTCTGTCAGTTTCTCTTTCTCTCTCTCTTTCTTTTTCTCAGTAATGAGCAGTAAGACAAGGCCAAATAGGAGGATTACTTAACCTATTCAAGGCTAACTTAACCAAACTAAATCTAACTTACCGTAACAAAGGATATAAACCTAATCAAGGTGGCTAACTTAACTTTACCTGACGTATCCAGTGTATGTCAGTGTATATTATAATCTGATGCAATTTTGATGTTTTCGTTTAAGTCAATACATTCTAAATATTCAGTTAAGAAGAACTATTGATCCAACTAATCACCGAGAGCCTGGATCTTGCATTTTCTTATAAATTTATCATAGTCTCACATCTCCCTGCACGTTGAGTAAATCACCAAGACCTCCTATTGAAGTTTAGGCCAAAGTTCGATTCCCGTTTCCTGTAGATGAAATATTGCTTAAAAGTCAATTAATCATTGGAAATAAGGAGAAAGAAAATCAAAAGTATATCGTTATGTGTATTCTTTACTGGGCAATATTCTAGATTCATGTGACTGAGAGAGGCAGGAATGCTTGAAATGTAAGCCTCCTCTGAGTCACAATACAAACGCTGACTAACATTGTTTACATCCGTGACTCCCCCGCGCGGCTGACCTCATCGACTGAAAGCAACAGTATCGAGGAACCGTATGTATTTATTATCATCAATATCTACAATAAAAAAAATATCACGGGGAAATAACTCTTTTTTTCAGAATGAGAATGATTTTGTTCCTGTTTTAAAAATTGTTCTTAAATGTTTTGTTTTGTTAGCCAGAGATAAGAACTAGGTTGTCATCATTCAAGGTTGGAATGGGAAAACAATGGCAAAAAATTACATAATACACAAGTTATGTAAGAAAATTAACTTCTTTATTTTCATCACTACACACTGAAGATGTACATGAAAAAAATATTTCGCGAAAAAAGAACCCACAAAAATGCCTTTACGTGAACTGGAAATAAAAAACGGAAACTTTTTTATAACAACCCCTCGTAAGATGTCACTCCTCAGTGTCTCCTATGTCATTTTCTGGTTATGTATGTCACAGTGAAAGTATCCTCACGATGCCATGCCCTCACACCGGTACATCAACACGTGACGACTTACTCTAGAGATTAATTTCAGAGTTTGCAGGAAGTTAAACGTTCTTACTTCTCGGTCTTGTGAACAGACTGTTAAGTGCGCAGTGTTGAGTCTAGGGGGTGGGGGTCACTTTTCCACGCAGACATCGTTCTTAGGAGATAATTAAGGCATTTCGCGTCTTTGTGATGAAGGGCTCCACACTTAAATACCATAGGTTTTCCACGTTAAAATGTCGATTTCCACGCTAAAATATAAGTTTTCACGCTAAAATATCAGTTCCACGCAAATGTATCATTTTTCACAAGAAAATGTCAAGTTTCCAAGCTTAAATGTCAGCGTCCAAGCTAAAATGCCAAAGGTTTTCCACACTAAAATGACAGTGTTTCTACGCTCATATACAATATATTCCACACTCTAGTAAAGGGATTCCACGCTCTCAATACCAAAGGGAAACTAACACAGTAGGGCTCCCACCAAATAAGAAACACACACACACACACACAATTAGCCAAGCAATCGAGAATGTGCACAAACACACACACACACAATCAGCCAAGTAATCTAGAGAGAGTATGTGTGTGTGTGTGTGTGTGTGTGTGAGGTAGGGGGGGGGAGGGGGGAGTGTGCTGTAGGCGGAGCTTGTTGTCTTAGCAAGCTCCTCCCCGACAATATATAGACCTGATAGCACGGCGTCGAGCGTCAGTTGAGGGGCCGACAGTAACTTGGTAAGAGCGGTAACTGAGGAGCACAACACGAGGTTGGAGAGTTAGAGAGAGCCTTATTCACGCGGCGTGTGCTATTGACGCTTACAATTTGGGATAAATCGAAAGAGGTTTTATATCTGAAGAAGTTCAAGCAGTATCACCACCACCATGCAAGTCGTAAACCTCACTCTCCTAGGAGCCGTTATTGCCTGTGTCAGCGCCTTCCCCGTCATGTTCCTCGCTTATACTGGTAAGTGTAGGACTGCCTGCATACTTGTTGCTCTAATGACCGTGTTTAATCTTATGAGGACTATGGTTTAACCCTTTGAAACCAACTTTATTAAGTGTTCACATAAAATCTCAAATTGACATGAACCTAACAAATTTCCACCAGAATAGAAAATAAAGCAAAATTCCACCTGAGGAAACCCTATTAGTCTATTATCCATAAAACAAAAATTCATCAAAATTTTTTACTAGAAATTCCAATACCAAATTTAATTGTTTAAATCCAGATGTACTATAAGTGCTATTGTACTTTTCACCCTAGGATAAATGCTATATTGGCCTTTGAGTACAGGGATAATTGCTAAGATGCCCCTTGAATACTAGTATGTGCTATGTTGACCTTTGAGTACTAGGATAAGTGCTATGTTGGCCCTTTAGTACCTGTATAAATACCATGTTGATTATTAAAGTACTCGTATAAGTGCGATTTTGGCCCTTAAGTGCTATAGTATAAGTGTTGGCCCTTAAGTGCTATAGTATAAGTGCTATAGTATGTGTTGGCCCTTGAGTACTAATATAAGTTATGCTTTACCTCGAGTTTTAGTATAAGTTCTATGTTTGACCTTGAGTACTAGGATGAGTGCTATGTTGACTTTGCCTTTAAGAGTAGTAATATACGTGCTATGTTGACTCTTTCAGTAATAGTATAATTGCTATGTTTGACCTTAAGTACTAGCATAAGTGCTATGTTGGCTCTTCAGTACTAGTATTAGTACTTTGTTGGCCCTTGAGTACAAAGTGATAAATTTTCCCTACACACAAATGTTAAATTTTTCCCACAATCACCAGAACAAGTGGTTACATTGCCCCATTAACAGTGGGATAAGTGCCACTTACCTCAGGAAGCAGTGTAAATGTTACAATGTTCCAGGGCAAGTGTCGTATCAATCCCTAACTCACCAAATTATCCTAGTATCCTACACGAAGCTGGGATAAAAGTCATGTTTGTAGCTGTCAGTCCCAGATGGGTTTTAGTGATACTGTATAATTCTTCACAAAGTACCAAGGTATAGAGCCAGAATTAAAGTACCTGCCTTACCCTAATACATTATGATCTATGGTATAAACAACGCATGGATGAAGAATAAGGCCGCGAAGTTATTTTTTTACGTTGGTGTTCATTTGGTTTATTTTGGTGGTTTCCAGGCCTTTCTTATCGGCAGTAATATTCTTTTATTTTTTTACAAGATAACCGAAAGAGTTTAACGTGAGGGCTGTCAAATAATGCACATATTTTCGTTCGCTGGTAGGTGTTAAGACATTTTAGTTCAGTAGTCAGCCACAGTATTGCTGGTCTCAACACACTACGCTCGTTATTTTTATGGTGCCAAATTAGGAGAACTGGATATTTCTTTAGCGTCTGAGTCCATCACTGTAAGACAAAGGCCACCAGCTGGTGAAATATATGAAGAAGTGGCAACTCCATTATATATACGCTTATTCAACACGCCTGTTTTCAGAAATAGGAAATGAATTTAATCAGACGTGACGAAAGAATGTGGCGTATAGCACGGTCTAAATTTCTTGGTATACTATATAGGAAAAAAATCCCCTGATATAACCCCTACAGTTAATTTGTCACTGAATAGAATTCCAGCACTAAAACGATTGTGGACAATATTCCGTTAGTTATTTTTTTAATAGACTGTGGGGTTGATCAGCTTCCAGCAGAATCTATAAACAAATAATGGGTAAGAATGCGATAAAATGTTTGACTAAAATATGTAATTCTACTGTATATACTCTGTACTTCCAAGGAGACCTCCCCAGTGATGTCTTGAATAAAGACGAAAGCTAAGGTGCTCCGTTGTTTCCCTTTTCCCGTGTGATTTTATCAAGATTTATCTTATCCACGTTTTCATTGTGGATCTACATGAAATATATATATATAATATATATATATATATATATATATATATATATATATATATATATATATATATATATATATATATATATATATATATATATATATATATATATATATATATACACGCAAGTAAATCACTGTATATGCTGATAACCTCGTAGGAAACATGAAAACACGAACTTCCCAAGTTCCTAAAAACCAGGAGCCTTAGAGTACACCCAGTTTAGAACAATAAGCTTAATAAATCTTGCCTGCAAAGTTTTGTTTTATTGAGTAGAATGAATTTTAGAATAGAAAGTGAGTTATGTGAAGAATTAAATGGATTTAGAAATGGAAAAGGAACTAAAGAAGCTATATTTGGTTTGAGAATTTTGAGTGAAAGGGCTTTAGAGGTTCAAATAAATTTTTATATCTGCTTTGTTAATTAAGAAAAACAACATTCTTTTCATAAGGTAAAACACAATAAACTTATAGATATCTTGGAAAAAATAGGCATTAATGAAGCGTAGATTTTTTCTTTTTAGGCCAACATGAGTCAGCATTTGAAATGTTGTGTTATTGGCGATGAAATACTAAGATTAACAAAAACTTAAAGATAAATACTTAAAATGTACAGAAAAAGATAAATGAGAAACTTCGGTCAAGGGATGAGAGGACAATAACATATAATAATGAGTAAAGTTGAGAGTAGGAGGTCCAGGGGAAGGCAGAGACTGAGATTGATGAATTAAATTATAGACTAGGTCCCCATAGAGATACAAAAATAGAATTGGTTAAAACAGCTCGAGAACATTTAGAGTGGAGGACTGTGGTCGCCAACCCTCAGATACGATGACGGTACTCTGATTGGAATATGTTGAATTAGGTTGAGATGTTTAGGTGAGCTTTGGTTATTTAGGCTAGAAAAGGTTAAGGTTAGCGTTGGTTATGACAGTTCAGACTAAGTAAGGTTAGATTAGTTTAACCCTGAATAGTTTTGATATATTAGGCTGGAGGTGGACAGGTCATACCTGTATTAACTTTGGTTATGTAAGGTAAAGTGAAAGTAAATATCATACGTTTGGCGACACATTTAGGACAGTGAATACAGTACTCCTACACTGAGCCTTCGGTACTCAAGGAGGTAGCGTGGCCGGCACTGCACTCAACTGACATCACCTCCCCCAGTTGTAAAGTTTATAAGTGCCCATAACGAGGGGTAGCCCGGCCGTGAAGCGCCGTCTCTTAGGACATTAAATTAAAATAGGTTAAGTTTACTGGGTTAAGTTCTGTGGCCTTGTGTCATATAATCTGCACACACACATACACACACGCCCACAGTACCCGGTAGAGGCACTTATAAACAGCTGTCAGTGTGTGAGTAGTGTGACCTGGTAGTAACCTGAGAAGAGATGGGAAGGGTATGCCCGGGATGTAGGTCACAGTCGGCAAGCCATTTTGATGCCGTGCGTCTTGCATTACGCGAAATAAGAAACAATTAGGTTCATAACCGACCATTACTGTCTCCTCCCCTGGTGATAGTAGCTGCCTCGGGTAAAGGACACGCCTTGTACTATATTCAGGCAGTAATATATGTGAACTCTTTTACCCTTGACAGAATATGAAGTCTTGACCTAGACTATTTTTTAAATTACGCTCAGTTGTAGTAAACTTTGAATAATTTTATATATTCATCTATTTTACAAGTAGTTTCAACGAGTCGTGGTTATAATGGTATTTTGGAAAGTGTTGATTATAAAATTAAACTTTCTATAGAATATATTATATAATAAAAAACATTTTACGGTCTGCTTGCCTCTCCTGGCCCGCCCGACGTTTTAATGAGGTTACGTCACAGCGAGAAATCTGGGACACCGAGTTGACTGGCATCCGGTGGCAAATAAAGACATTCTTCTAAGAAAATAAAGTAGCGCGTGTGTTGGTGTAGGAAAAAAATAGTGCATTGGTAATATGTCAGAGGTATGTGTATAAGATCTTATTTGAATATATTTGTTTTCTGCTAATATATGAAACATCGTAGTGTAAAGTCATCAGAGATCAGCCCTAAAATTTAGTAAATATCTACTTTAAAGTGAACAAATATTTACAAGAAAAACACCTATAAATAAACTAACATTTATTTCTAAATCAATAAACACACATATATAAGTACACATTTCTTAAGTAAACAGACACGTAATCTCTATTTAAAGAAAACATTTACCTTTGAAAAATCTTTAAATCAACAACATACGCATTGAAATGAACAAACACATTCACAAGGAACACACATTTATTCTCATAACACAAACATTTACCTTAAATACACATATACACATTGAAATGCACAAACACAAACACAAATTCACACAATTTTTCAAAGTACAATACTTGTACACCAGGCATCTTCATAGTTCACTTAAAGTACATTTTTCGATTCGCAAACAGCTGGAATTGTAATGGAAGATAAATTTATTTTTCTTTTGCGTTTACTTCATGTGGAGAGGAAGTAGTTGCTGTAGGTTATTTCTCAATGAGGGAAGGCTTGATCTCGGTGATTTCTCTCCTTGAATTGTACATTTCTGTTATATACATTACTGTACTGTTGTGTCACATCCTCTTCCTGCCTAGTAGACCGGATGTATTGTTCCTGACGTGATACCAATGTTCACCGATAACATAGAATGCCTCGTATACAAACACACCTCGCTGACATCACCTCAAACTCACGCCAACAATGATGAGTGAATACTTATTTTTACTGTAAGGCGATGACGCAGCTCTAACGAACACTGATTGTACGTTATTTGGTATATTAATCTGATAAGAATATTCAAGAAAAGAGGAAATGATCACTATCTATTTGACTGATAGAGGTGACGCAGAGAAACCCCCGCGTGTCGGCTGTTTAGAGAAGGGAATCAACTGGTTTGTACCATGAGCCGGAAATCTTTCGAAAAATATATACATTATTATGGCAACACCGCTGGCTTACATGTTCTTCATTACCTTACACTAAAAATACAATTAATTGTTATAGCCAACATTCAGTGGATAGTGAAAACAGGAACTACACTAATATTCTCAGCCACGTATTAAGTTGTGGGACAGCA